AACAAAAAGAGAAGACGAGGCGAGCAGCAGCAGCATCAAGCCTGCCATGGAGGGATACGTGCAGAAGAGGTTTCACTCTCTCCTCAAGACCTTCTCAGACCTCCAGGCATGGAGCAGCAGCCCAGTCTCTCAGACCGAGCGCTTGCTAGACAAGCTCTACGCCGGCATGCAACGAAAGACCACCCGCCTCATCAGCATCATCGACCTGGAGGGCCAAGACTCGCTCCTGGAGCGGCTCCTGTGCTTCAGAGAGGAGGAGCGGCCGGATGACGAGCTCTGCCTGCACGTCATGACCTCAGAGAGCTGGGGGGCTCGTAGCAAGGACGAGGCTGTCTCGGGCCGGGCGACAGGCGGGAGCTTGACTCGTGCTAGGATGAAAGCGATAGAGAGGAGAAGAGGGAGAGGCTCTGACAGCAGCACGAGACAAGAGACACGCAAGGCGGATCAAGCCGTCTTGCTTGGCGAGGGAGGAGGCGGTGACGACGAGGGTGCTCGGGAGCTAGTCAGGCGAGTGATGGAGCTTGCTCTAGAGGGAGGTAGAGCGGACGAGAGCTTCTCGAGGCGCAACAGGTAAGAGCGTAGACGGAGGAGGAGGGCGTGAGAGGAGGGTACGGACGTGACTCGATGTGTTGCTAGCGCTCTGTCAGGTCAGTCGAGGTATCGCTCCCAGAGCTTCGAGGACAGTCGGACGGAGCGGAGCTTCGAGGCAGACTTGATCTTCCTGGAGCATCCTCGGTGTACGGGCTGTGCATGGGGCTCAACGACTACCAGGGAGAGCTCAAGCCGCTTGCGAGGGCCGTGGCAGCTGCGACGGAGCTGCATGAGAAGCTCTGCTCACTCCCGCAGTGTCACTCGGTCTTGAGCTCGAACCCAACTTTGTCCGCGATGAAGAGGTACCTCAGGAGGAGTCTGAGGGAGCTAGAGGGAGCGTGTCCGGAGCTGGTGATCTTCTTCTACGCGGGCCATGGCATCTATGAGTCAAGGAGCAAGGATCAGATGTTGATACCGACGGACGTGGAGGAAGTGAGAGGGTTATCATTCCGGGAGATGGGTGAAATGATGCTTTCAATGGAGGAGGTTTTCAAGTTCTTCAGGGACTTCGAGCAAGACGTATCAGGATATCATCCGAGGGTGCTTGTGGTCATAGACGCTTGTCGGGACGAGATCGAGGGAGTGTCAGAAGGTCTGCCGCAAGATCCGGAAGTGAAGGCGCTGCCCAAGCATTGGACTCTGCTGCTGACATGCGGCAAGGGCAAGACAGCAAGCGACGAGTCGAAGCTGTTTGAGTCGCTTCTGGATGCAGAGACAGGGATGTTCGCTTGCAACAGACCGCTAGACAGCGTCTTACTAGACTGTGCGAGGAGATGCAAAGAGTCACAACCTTGTGTATTGATGAACATTTATGACATTCCGGAAGGCTTCTGCCTGGTGAGCGACGGCGAGGCTCTGAGAGACATCAGGAGCAGTACAGCTGCACTGCATGCTGCCAAGGATGTCGTATCGAGCTATCCTCCCCTCACAGACACGTCCAAGGCAGACACGTACGTGCTGGCTTACAGCCCTGAGGACGCCAAGTCTTTCAGAGACAGGGCGATGGAGGCGGTGAAGTATTTCCTTGGAGAGCAGCGAGCGGGATAATCCGCGGACCCGGAGGCTGCTGGCATACTTCTATTCGTGTATGGACGAATTTATAGCAGGCCCCGAGCTGGTCAAGGACGTGCTGGAGTACATTGGACGGAACAAGATCTCGTCGCCGTCGTTCGAAGCATGGAAGGCAAGTCAGACAGGTCGCAGCATATCGGACGACAAGCTGCTCATTGCGATCTTGGACTACACGATCAGCAAGGAGATGCGCAGAGTGATATCAGACCCAGATGAGCGAGATGAAGCATTGGAGATATGGAGCAAGGTGATCGATGGGTGCTTGGACCCGTCGGTGTCATGGGAGGAGGGGATGGATAAGATCGAAGAGCATCTTCGAAATAAGACTGACCTTCAAGGTGGTCAGGAGGTCTTGTTCTACTTGTATGTGCTGGAGAGATCCGTGGAGGTCGATTGAGATCGGGACTTGATGCCTTTTGACTCGAAGGGTTTGAATATTTGTTCTAATATTCTAGTGTAATTGACTCTCACACTTACCGAAGTGTCAAACTTGAGCTAATACATCTCGAGCTGACGTCTCAGGTAGATAGAATATCATCATTCACTACCTACCAAGAGAAGCTACAATTGTCTATGACCAGCTCGGCTCCTCACATCGGCTCCTGTCTCTACTATCAAGACTCAGCTTGTCTCCTTCTCCTGCCATGACATCTCCTTCTCGTCCCCGACAGTCGTTCTCTCTCCGCTTCAACTCACTCCTCATCTTGCTATCTTCATCTTGCTATCTTTCCGCATGCATCGCTATCCCCTCATGCAGTCCAGTAGTCTTGTTTCAGCTTGTGCGCCCATTCCACCATCTGCAACCCTCGTCACTCTCATCCTTTCCTCGCGACCCAGCTGACCTGAGGTACAAACGCTGTCTGACTTTGATAGATCAGAGCCTGCGCCCCCGTCAGTCTCTCCTCCAGCGCGAGCTGGCGCGTCTGCTGGACCGGGCCGTTCCCTC